ACCTACTCACAATAGTAGTTTTAATTAATTATGGGTGGTAATATAGAAATAATTATTTATATTATTTTTTATATACTATTTTAAAAAAATAATTATATTTAATATCATAAGTTTTGAATAAATAAAAAATTAATTATTTCAATTAATTTACATTAAAAATATAAATATTGACTTTAATTTAATTAATTAGTTAATCAAAACTATCCACCCACATGGCAATAGTAATAAAATAAAAATTAATTTTTATATTTTTTATGTAAATTAATCATAAAAAAGTATATTTATTATACTTAAGGAGGTTAGATAAACCTAATTAATTTTGATACCAAAGTTATATGTATTATTTTCATTGGTTAATTTCTAAAGTTAAAGTCAAATTTTATTTTATTTTTTCTATGTTTAAGGTACATGTGAAAACAATCATTTTTAATTTAAGATGATTAGAATTAGTTGTTAACATATTTTTAGATATCATCTAATACATTTTTTTTATTTTTTTATTTTTAAATTATAACATATATTATAATAAAAATACTTATTTAAATATTATTTAATTAAAAATAATATGAAATTTTACTAATTAAGTGTATTTTTTTGAAAAGTAAAGATATTTTATGAATTGAAAAGATATTACTATAAATCCATTTATAAAGGAGCCTAAAGTTGAAGTTATAACCTATAGCACTAACAGTGTACCTTCTTTAACCCTTATTCAACATTATTGTTTTTTCTTTTAACATTATTATGGTACCAAAAATGGGCTAAGTCATTTTCAAAATTTTTATATGCGAACCCATTGAGATATATATATTGGAAAGACGTATGTATATGCATGATATAGATTAAAAAAATGGAGAAGACACACAACACACACACTCTATGGAGTAGAGTTGTCTCTATAGCTATAGCCCACGGATGATTAAGATACGAGATTGTTTTATCGGCAGGCAAAGCATCTCCGCCAGCACATTTTAAAATGAAAACGATAGCTCTCATATAAGTTAATTAATTGTAGTTAACAGACACCAAGCGATTGCAATTCGTCTAAAATGACAAATTTGTATTTCAAGGAATATGCATATAAGACAACAGGAAGAATCTTTTTCCTTGGAATCTAACATTCAACTCTCCTCAAATTCTCTTATATATGCTTCACCAAACTCTCTTTCAATTACTAATTAATCCTTAAAATTTCAGTTAACTGAAATTTTATTTTGGTTAATTAATTCCGATAATTAGAAAAATTTTAAGCTAAATTTTGGTTTTTTCACTCAAATTTTTTTTTTTTATATTTGGTAGTTGTTGTATGAGGGGGAAACATATAATAGTAACGGATAGAACTCAGACCGTTTGGTTGGTAAGCAAAGAGGCTAACCATCTTGCAGGCTAATTGACATTTTTCATTTTGATTAATTTAGGGTTCGGCCAATAAGCAAACCAAGATAAATTTCAATTAATCAAATTATTTGAAAACAAAATTTAATCAGACTAAAAAAAATTATTTATTTTTTAATATTTACAATTAGGAAAATGCTTTATGCACCCTCTGGTTCAACACTCGGGGGTGCATACTCTATATAATCAAATAATTTTAAGAATAAAATTACAAATTTAACCTTAAAAGTCATCTTCTTCTCAATACCCCTTTTTCTTCTTGTCTCTCCATCTTCCTCAACCCTTTCCGTCTGATGTTTTTAGTTGCCAAACTCTTCTCCTTCCCCAAAACCAGATCTACTTCACCCTTTTATCTATTTATTTATTTTTTGGGGTTGCTTGGCGATGACGATGATGATGGTGGTGATAGTGACGATGGTGATGGAAAACAGAGGGATCTATGGTTCTTCCCCTCTCCTTCTATTTTGGTGGTGATTGAGGATGGTGATGGAGTTGGACGTTGTGATGATGATGAGATGCAAGGAGATGGTCTAGATCTATAGAAGGGAGAAGAATTGAGAGAGAAGAAGGGGTGAGTTCTCCGAGAACCCAGACCGAGAGAGAGAGAGAGAGAGAGAGAGAAAAGGGGTTTGGGTTCTCTAGGAGAATCCAGATCAAGTTCTCCAAGAAGAACCCAAGTTTGAGTTCTCTTGAGAACCCGAGAGAAAAAAAAGGGCAAAATTATAATTTTACTTCTAAAATTATTTGGTTATGTAGAGTGTGCATCTCGAGTGTTGAACCAGGGTGGGTATGCATGAATCATGGTCCTTACAATTAAAATGTCTCTAAAAAATTTTAAAGATACACCTCTATATTGGACTGAGGCATTTAATAAAATTAATTTCTTTGATTGTTAACTTTAAGACTTTAAATTTAATTTACAAATAGGTGGTGTTATAAAGATAACTTTTTTATATAACTTTCACATGTTATTAAATAAATTGATGCATTTAATATCACGTATCCCATATGAATTAAAAAAATCAATCATTTTAATGACACATCAAGTTGTACAAAAAAGTAAGATAAAAAATTGTACAAAAATCATTTCCCTTTACAAAACAACACCTAATGGATCAACTCTAAAGTTTCTTCAAAAAAAAAAAAAAGAAAACTTAGTTCAGAATGTCTGGTAATTATAAACAAATTTCCCACCCATAGATAGATTTCTGGCAAGAGAAGAGCCAACGAACGTGTACACAAGCTAATTAATTTCATTATCACTTGTAATCAGCATTTATTATGATTATAAAATTAGTACTTTGATGATAAAATTATTAAAAAAAAAAAACCAATAAATAAGTCAATCCAATTTTCACGTGCTTCCATGGTGACCACACCAGCAAGAAGTTTCATGCATGATCTTGATCTAATGTTGATGATCTTATATATATATATATATATATATGCCCCAACTTAAAAATAAAAATTCTGGAAATTCTGTTTTGTAATCTTATTTTAAATTTCGTTGAAGGCTCGAAATTCTGGAAAACGTGCTGCGTAGTTAGTTTTAAATGTGAAGACTCGCTGCGTAGCTTGACCTTTCTGTAAGGCAAATCCACTGAAATCCAATAGTGGGAATGAGATGCTCACACGTATGCCCTAGGAACGAACAAAGACTTTCCTCCCTTGCAAGTTGCAACCATTTTTTAAATCTCTCTCATCTCGGGTTGACGTACATGTACTTTATTTCTAATAACACAGCTATATTTGCAAATAATTTGATATTCTATATTTAATAATTATTAATATTTATAATTTAAATATTTTTATAATATTACTATTTACCGTAAAAAAGATCAAAATAATTTCATTTTTGTTTTAAGAACATATTATTTTAAAATTTTTTAATTAAAAAAATATTAAAATAACATAATTTTAAATATTTTTTCTCTTAATTTGTAAATATTTTGTTGATAAATACTTTTCTCAACTTTTGTTTATTAAATTATACAAATCAATAATTAATTGATATTACTTTCCCTAGCTAATAACTAAATCCAATAACAAAAATGATATAATTTAAATATCACGTAATATTATAAATTTACAATCATGATATATTATTATATAATTAATTTTTTTATTTAAAAATTTATTTAAAATATTAAATATATCTATTTATTTAATTATACGTTACAAATATATATTTATAATTCTACTTTGCGATTGTAACAATGACATCGTAACTAGAGATAGATCAACCCCATAAATATAAGAGAGGAGCCTCCTCATTTGGTTGTTTTTCTGTAGCTCCAACAGTACAAAATTGATGATCGCATACCATCCTTCTATAATAGTTTTGGTTTTACTGTTTAAAAACTATTACTAACATATAATATCTATTAGAGTCTTTTATTTTGTAATTTGAATTATAAAATTAAAATTATTGCACAAAAAAAGATGAATTCTCTCATGTGATTTAATGAATGGATTACGTTATTCCACAAGTAATATGTAAAATTCGTTCAAATTTTAGTTTAATTCTTACTCTGAACAGATGTTAATTACTAATTCAGTATTCTCCTTGTAAAAAAAAAACTATGGCACAAAAAAAACAATTTTTAATATTAAAAATATATTTTTATCTAAAAATTTAAATTATATAATTTAATACAATTTAAATTATATAATATTTTTTATATTATTATTCAGCAGAGGGTGGTGCTGTCCAGGTCGTCTCCTCGTTCCACGTGTGCTTCTGTGGGCAGTCGTTTGAGGCTATGGGCGCTGAAACAGAAGCACGTTCTCTTTCAAAATCTAACGGTCAGCCCATCACGTGTTCTCGGCCCGTTCGTCTTCTCCACCAGAATGTAATCAAATTTCAGTTTTCCTTCCTTCAAAAAAAAAAAAAAAAGAAAAAACTCAGTTTTCCTTCTTTTTACATATAGATAGAAATAGTAAAGGATAATGTTGAAAGTAGTTTTGAGGGCAACAAGAAAAGGATAAGGTTTAGTTTGATAATAAATATTTTCCATTTCTATTGATTCTTTTTACTGTTTTCTAGAGATGAAATGGGAAACTGGGTTTCCTAGAACATAATTGTAGAAAATTGTCTTTTATTTGAAAAAATGAAAGAAAATTTGTCAGAAAGTCAAAATAAATTCTTAAATAAATAAATTGCCATATTTGCAATAAAAAATTTTAAAATAGCAATTATTTCTTCTCAGTATCCATGTATTCTTTCGGAAATTTTCTTGAAAAAATACTTTCTGTAAGCTGAAATGACTTTAATATTTAAACTCTAAATTTTTTTATACATCAAATAATGGCTTATAAAGTTTTTTCAAATTTTCTCACAAAGCTCAATATTAAAATCATAAAATTTTTAATTTATAATTTCAAATATTCATTGAGACAATTCCCTTTCAATATTATTAAAGTTTGTCTATTCTGAACTATACCAAGACAAATCATTTTGATAGTATAACTTATGAGAAATTAACATCTATTTTTTTTTTTTTTACTTACCATACCAATTTCCTAGTCAGATTGTGGGGAAAGCGTGGGAAAGTAGGGTTATCCAACCCATCCATGACACATTAACTTGCTCTTTCCACCTATAAGTCAAGCTTTCTGCTTGATTTTCGTCGTTTATATTCTTTCAACTCATCCTCTTGGTTTTCCCCGTCCCTCTCTCAATTCTCTCCTACTCTCTAATCTTCCTCGCCTTTTACTGTGAATATTCAATGAGGAAACCTTGTTGTGAGAAGAAAGAAACCAACAAAGGAGCTTGGTCTAAACAAGAAGACCAGAAGCTCATTGACTACATTCAAAAACATGGCGAAGGTTGCTGGCGCTCGCTCCCTCAGGCTGCAGGTATGTATATACATTCATAAAAAAATATGTGTATATATCAATTTGTTCCCATTCTCTACCTAGTTTCTTTTGTTTGTTCTTCTTGAAGAATAATTTACGGGTATGATATTATTAGGGTTGCTTCGTTGTGGTAAGAGTTGTCGACTGAGATGGGTGAATTACCTTAGGCCAGACCTTAAACGCGGTAACTTTGGGGAAGACGAGGAGGAGCTCATAATCAAACTGCATGCACTTCTGGGAAATAGGTAAGAAACTTATGTTTTTCCTTTTTGATACGTCCCTCTATATAATTTCTTAAACACCTCCCTACTCTATCTAAAATTTTTCTTTTTTTATCAGCAAAACAAAGATAATTATATTATTTGAGGGAGTACAAGGGATACTCTAACCCATATACAAAGATAAAATCCTAGTGTTGGCATTAACAGACCAAACCAACTACCAAAAATAATAAAGTTGACCAGAAACAACATCTCATGAATGTCTACATGAAATTTAAACTTAAAACTTTTAATATGAAGACTTTAAGAACTTATAATTACTGAAACATTAACGGAAAATTATGTTACTATAAGTTTGGTTTAAAAAAATTAATTTCAAATAATCATTAGTAACATGATTCGTAAATATACCTATATATATAGAGGGGCAACTTTTCCTGTCCAGAGGAAAAGTTTTTCCTTTTTCCTCTTCAAATAAAAAAGAGAAATATATATCCAATTAATGTCAAACCATAGTTTATAATTTCCAAGAAACCATTCTTCTAAACCCAAGGGATGGTTTATAACTTTTCTTTTTCTTCTTTTTTTTGTCTAGATTTACCTCTTCTTACCAAACTAATTAAAAATGTGAATTTAGACAGAGAAAATTTGACTCAAGATATGATTCGAGTCTGACAATTCGCTTGTTGTGTTTGGTACAGAATCGAGTTGTTGATTATTTGTACGGACATTATTATATATTAATTTACTTGGTCATAAATTTGCAAATGTTTAGGTGGTCCTTGATAGCAGGAAGATTACCAGGGAGGACAGACAATGAAGTGAAGAATTATTGGAACACACATTTGAAAAGGAAACTCATCGAAAGAGGGATTGATCCAAATAACCATAAATTGGGACATTATTCTACAACTGCTACCAAATCGTGTGTCTTGAATTCGAATGGTGATGATAAATGTAGCCCTGTAAACTCCAACGGTAATGAGAATAATGCAGGTTCGAATTCATCAACTGACCAAGAGAGCAACCACAAAAGCAGCTTGCCGGACCTGAATCTTGATCTTACCATAGCTCTTCCTCTCATGGAAGGGTGACGGTTTCTTATGGGATCTGGTCAAGCGGGATATTTATGAAATTTTTGCTGCATGTAATGTCCCTGGAGCCACTTCTGTTAATTAAGTACTGTAGTTACTCCAGTAGAAAGTCAGAATTTCTTATTTTATATATCTTATAAAGTTATATTTCCAGCAAAAGTACGAGAAAGGTTCCGTTAATTTTTTTTTTAATTAGGTCTCCGACATAAATTATGATTAATTATTTCACTTGATGGGGATGTGAGAATTGATATGCATGGTACACAATATATGGTTTGATGTCATATAGTTATTGTTGTTAGAGACAACTTAATTAAAAACATAAAATTTTAAAGATTAATATATTAGAAAGGTGTTTGTTAATAAACTATTATTAAAAAATTAAAATAGTTTATTTTTAAAGTATGAATAAGGTTATTTTAGTTTTTTTCTCATAAAATTTTATTTAAACAATATAATTTTAAATATTTTTCTCTTAATTTTTAAAAAATTAACTAAAAAATATTAATAATCTTTTTGAAAATGATATAGTTATTATGTCATATAATATTGTAAATTTATAATATAATATTGTAAATTTATAATATAATATGTGGTTATATAATTAACTATTTTTATTCAGAGTTCACTTAAAATTATAAATTTATAATTTTACGTGACATTAAATTAAACATGATATGATATTAAATGAATAAATATATATTAC